TTTCCCAGCAGCAGATAACCTGCATCAACCACAGTTACACATAGTTTTTAAATCTGGAAACACTGTAAACTTAAAACAGCAAGTTTTCCGTCACCCAGATTTGAGTACGGATGTGTACAGCAGAAACATGGCTGTTGTGTTGGGGGGGGGTTAAAGTGTAATTAACTGACCTTGGGAATTGGACATCGGTTCACATAAAATACCAGAGCATGTGAGACGGGAGCCAGAGAGCAAATCCTCAGGCCAGAACCTGCAGAAACTCACCGGAAATGTGAACCAAAGTGCATCTGCAGACAGGCATGCAGGGGTACAGGCTGGTGTTTACTGGGCCGTCTCAGAGAAGCCCATCTGACCAGGGAGCTGTGTGACTGCATGCGTTACATAACCAGGGGCCAGGCCACCTCCCCCCCAAGCTGGTGATACTGCAGAGACCACCAGGTCACAACCCCATACCACAGCAACATCCTCAATGATGGGGGTGCATCCCACCCTATACAGTGACCAAGACCTGCCAGAACAGCACCACATCGCGCCCCACTGGCAAACCCACAACGAAAAGTAGTACGAGTCACAGGGAAAAACGCGAGGACAGCAGCCGATCGCTGACCCCCCAGCCAACAGGCGTTTAGTGGGGAAGAGCGTACAGTCAGCCTAGCCAGAATGGTCCAGGGTGACGTCGGGAAACCTGCGGCTGCGAGGTAACACTGGGCGAAATGCAGGCATGCCAATGAAGGGTGAGAGCGGGGAGAACACGTTCAGGACTCCGTGGACCGGGACCGCGGAAAACAAGCAGCACTCCTGAACAACATGACACCGGAGCCCAAGGCGGCCAAACGGAAAAAATCATCATTTAATGGCCGAGACGAGTAAAACAGGCACGCGGGGTGACGTGTCAGTAAAACATTAAAGACGGTGCAAAGGCGAGAACAGGCAGCAGAGCCTCAAGCATATTAATGCACGGCAGATTTCAGCTTTATTAGCAATGTATGAAGCTGCAGCCGTGACTTATTAGCACTGTCACCGCGAGACGGGTACCGTATCAAAGCCTCGAGCTCTGTCAGAGTGTGTGTGTGTGTGTGTGTGTGTGTGTGTGTGTGTGTGTGTGTGTGTGTGTGTGACAAAGGCAGTGCGACTGTCAGTTGTCGTGTCCGTGCATGAACTTCCACGTGCTCCCGTACCCCAGGCTGAAACCCCAAACCCCCGGAGCCACCGGGACACGCCGTCTCACCTCCGTCTCCAGCTGCACCAGCTCCATTTTGGGCCAGGGGTCTGCGAGCTGCGCCAGCGGCATTCTGCGGGTCCACGGTCCGCTCCGTCAGCAAGTCGAATCGAGCCCCCTACCTGCCGGCGGAGATGAATCACAGCCCCCACGAGCCGCCGGCACGCGGGGTGTCAACAGCGCACCTCGCGCACAACAAGGCTGAGGCGCCCGGCAGCCGATCCCGGATCCGGAGTCTCCGACCTTTCCCTAGGCAGGTAGGGGCAAGTCTGAGGCGAGGAGGACGCCGCTTAACAATGGCAGCCTCGACGCTTTCTGCGCTCTTACCCTCTGTCCGTGTCGCAGGATAATAACCGATGGAAAAACCGCCGCGATGCGCGTTTAATTCCGGTCACGTCTCACAGCTCGAGCTCTCCAGCCCCGCGCGGAGCGCAGCCTCGCACCATCAGTCCGCCCGTCCGGAGCCGCGAGCCGCGGCCCCCTCCCCATCGAATGTAGCGTCGGGCCAGGCCAGCCGCCACACTATTGGCGGTCTCGGCACGCCTGGCCCGCCCCCTCCCTCCCCCCCTCCCTAAGGAGCCGTGAGCGCCCCCTGCTGGGGACTCGGCTGGGCGGCGTGAGCGAATAGGCGCTACAACAGCTCAACGCCGCTATCGGTTTTATCTCGTACTGCGGAAACATACAACACGTTTCACCATAATGAAAGCGACTGAATTAAAATGTTAATAAATATTAACATATATATTCATGAATATGCGTGTCATAGTAGGGGCCAGACTCCCGTACTAAATAAGAAGCCCCCAGGCTTATACAATATCAGACGCATATATTTAAATATATTTCCACGTTTAATAACGACGTGAATGGTTTAGCTATATCCACCCATAATCAATCAATCCATCCATCTGTACATTTCCAATTATGAACGATTCAGACTGAGTAACATTCTGGGCCACAAGGCTGGACCATCCTGAATCTCTCTCTCTCTCTCGCTCTCTCTCTCACACACACACACACACACACACACACACACACACACTTCTGAACTTTATGGCTTTCAGGTGATATATTCCCCTGTATTAAAAATCTTGCCCATGCACTATCTGAACTACAGACAGAGAATTAAAAACAGATTTAAATGACATTTCTTAGGATCAGGAAAGCAATTTTCAGTTATGAAAAGATTAGCTAATAAAACCAATAAGATAAATCTAATGAATAACTAAGCAGATGCAGGTGGTACCCCTCTGATGGGGTTAAGCACCAAAATCCATCACCAGGCATGTCTGAACCACACCTTTCTTTGCCCGCGGAGGTGCTGGACATATCCCATAATACCTCAGCCATGAAGGCTCACAGCTCAGGTGCTGCTCTTGGGCCGGCGTCCTGTGCCGACGCTGCAGGAACACGTGTAGTGGTGACACCACACCAAGCGTCGTGTGCGCAGAGCGGGTCCACGGTGTCTGCAGCAGCAGAAGCCCATATGGGAGTCCCCCAAAGTGCCAGCGTCCCTCCCCCGTGTGCCGACCACGTGCCGGACTGCACCGGAGGCCCACGATTCCTCCCAAGAGGGAAACACGCCGTCTCGCGTGTATCAGCCGTTATTTCAAGTTTGCCAATCTAAGTAGTTAAGGGTGTGGAGGAAGCCTGAGAGGCGCACATTACTGCCACAGTGAGCGTGTGGCTGGGGGGTAAGCTCATGCCACTGGCCTGTGCCCCTCCAGGACTGTCGAGGAACATTTACACAACCAACAGCAACCCCCTAATCTCTACGGTGGGGGCAGCACCCTCAGTGGAAAGTGACCTCATCCTGCAGGCCATATGTCACAGGTTGTGTGTGTGTGTTTGTGTGTTTTAGGGGGGTGCGCTTTGGCCAGTTCAGAGATAGAGATGCTGTTTGTGTGTGTTTGTGACTGTCAGAGAGTGACAGACTGCCAGTGTTTTGCCATAACAGCAGGACTGACAGCATTAAAATGAGAAATTTAACCACATGACAAGTCAATTCAGCAATTTCAGTGTGGTTTAATGGTGTTGGGAAGCCGGCTTTCACGCGTGAGAACCCCCACCCTGCCTTCCTGGAACACGAGGACCAAGCATATGTTCGGACACTCGGAGTACGTGTGCGCGGAGCAGCGAACGCCAAAGCCATCGTGTGCTTTACATACTGGCTGCCGCTTGGCTGCCGCTGTGCAGGCTGCTGCCGTGGGCCCCCGTGTCGCCTCAGATATCAATCTGCTTTAGCAGCTTTTATCTGCCGCTGATCGTCCTGCAGCAGCCTTAGCCTGTTCATGAAGCGGGCTGCTGCCTGCTCAGGGTCACGCTGCCACTTACTCTCATTAATATTCATATTTACATGATGTATAACAAGCAGGAAAACAAAAGGAGTCACCGCTGACGCAAACGACGGACAGCGCCGAGGCCGCCAGAGGAAGGGGAGAGCTGTGACCGTTACCATGTGCGCATGGAAACCATCGTTCCTGCACACCTCATCTTAGTCAGCGAAGACAATTAATCACGGGCCCAGTTATGTGTGGGGTAATTAGACTGCTCACCATCATAGGCCAATGTGAAAATCGGACCACAGCAAAGTGTGAATCATCTTCAGCGCTGAAATTTTAATGAGCATGTCAGCGTCTCTTACAGATCAGTGATGAGCACTGCAGAGTCCGCAGGGAGCAAGTGAAAATGGCTGAGACTGGGCCTTGAGGAGAACACTGCAATGCAGGCCCGGTACCAGGGCCCAGAACGGCTTAAGCGTGCCTCTTTGTCTGACATGTGTGGGGACTATGGTTTCAGCAACATCTGGAGTGAGGACACGTTTGAACATGCAGCAGGAATGGCAAGAATTAGGGTGGAGAGTTATGACGGACCGGTCTTGGCTAGCAGGACGCTTTATTGGAGCGTACCACTGCTGAATCAGTGTGGGGGAGCACCAGCTGCTGTAAATGTAGGGCCGTAAGTTCACAGTCAGTCCATATTCACATCGGTCTGGAAGCTTTTGATGCACCAGCGAGACATTGGGAGAAATAATTACGTAACTGCAAGCTTTCCAAGATCCCCTCCGCTATGTCAGGAATACCTGTCCTCATGTTCTCACAACCCACATTTTTTTTAAATGACTGCTAGGCTCAGGTTTCTCCCTTTATACCAAGATGTGTGTTTGTGGTGAGGCAGGGTGTCTAGCTCTTAAAGGGCACGGCACAGGTCAGGAGTCCATCGGGCTATGCAGGGCAGACCTGTCTCCTCCTCTGTCCCCTTGCCCAGACAGTGTGTGTATTCAGACACATCTCTATCACCTTCTCACCATCTAAGTATTTTTGGCCTACGGTCTAACACTCCCCACCCTTTGACATTAAAGTTGAGGGCAGCAGGGGGCGCCAGATCGCAGCAGGGAGCTTTTCATCTTGCTTTCATTCCTGGGACCCTGGGTGCCTTCAAAGGGGGGGTCCTTCTGATCTGGGCCTGTTTGGACCTGGCTGCTGAGTAGGAGGCAAGGCTGGGTGGTGAAGTTTGCAGCTGGTATTTACCAGCTGTCTCACATCACTGGCACTGCAATTAGATGAAATAATTTATTGCGGATGTCTTTACAGTAGAGAAGAATGATGTTAGATAATCAAGCGTTGATGACCATGCACTCCCATAAAGACCACGGCGCTTACGTTATGGGCGCTGTTTGAAAATGTAATAAATGCCTCCTGGAAAAATGCACCATCAGCATGACCAAGCGGGCTATGAATACGCCTTGTTACGTGCTCCCTGGGGCAGCAGCGTAGCGTGGTTTTAAAAGCGCTCATTATCATATTTTATTCTTGGATGCATTCGTATTTAGCTTGCCTGCTTGGTAAACGCACTCTCGAGAAATTATTCCCACGTGGTCCGGAGGAAGTCAGCTGGGTTAATAAATAAAGTATAAATAAATAAGGCGGGAGTTACTCTGCGCCCACAAAAAGGAGTCCAACCCTGTGGCACTCGCCCTTTTCCCTGCGCGGGTCCCGGAGCCTCCCCTCCCCCGCCTCTGGCCCAGTGTAACGCGGCTCTGCGTGGCCCCTACCTGCCGATGGGAGTGCCCCATCACCAGGAACACCTCGCCCTTCCTCCGCTCTGGGCTTGAGCTTTACTACTTTCCGGGGAGCATGGAGCCCGTCACAGCGTGGAGCCCCGACCGGGTCTGCGAATGGCTGAAAGGTAATAAACCCCGGGATTTTCGGGATTTTAACGCACCATCGAGCGGACAGACCCGTAAGTCGGAGCGCCGCTCGTACTCTGGCGGGGGAGGAATGAGGAAGCGCCGCTCTATCAGGCGTCAGGCTCCGGGACGAAGCGCGCTGCTGCCTCCCGGGACGGTGCTACGCCGGAGCGGCCGTGTCTCAGGCGGATGGCAGCATTAGGAAAGCCGGGGGGCCGGCGGCCGATCCGCGACTGCGGCGAGTAAAAGCGTGAGCCTGCTGAAGGGCGCACCGCGGCGGCGGACATTTCAAAGACATACTGCGGGCTCGGGTTATGGTTAACATGTAAAGGGCTTACTGCGGGTTAGGGGTAAAGGGCTTAGTGGGGCTGTAGCTGTACTGAAAACCTGTAGCTGAAACTTATACCTGAAACCTGTAGCTGTACCTGAAACCTGTATCTGAATCCTGTAGCTGTACCTGAAACCTGTATCTGAATCCTGTAACTGTACCTGAAACCTGTACCTGAAGCTATACTTATTGCTGTATCTACTTTAACCCGCCCCCGCAAGCATGAGCTTCGTTTATGTGCTGTTTCAGTAGAATGAGCACACATATTTTACTTTATTCTTCTGTTTTGTTTTTATAAGAACACACATGGAGCTTCCTGAAGGAGCCCGGCTCGTTGCTCGGATACGGAATTAAATGAATTCCCTTTCCGATAATTAAGGCGCCCCCGCCCCCTGTGAAATACCCAAACACGCCGGCGGCCCTTTCGTCACTCCCCGGTGGCCATCCTCTTCATTGACCCACATGCCTTACAGACTTTCAGCTTCCGTCTGTTATAATAAAACAAACGTATGCAAGTTTCATGTATAATGTTCCAGTTTAACGGGGGGATTAATAAACGCACATTGCTGATTGTGTCAGCCTGCTTTCTGGCTGAGATATATAATAAATATTGTAATACTCTAAATTTCTAAAGTTTTATTCTAATATTACTAATAAGGGTTAGCTAATAGTCAGATGATGTGAAATGTCAGTGTGTAGCTTTTGAGTGATGCCCTGTCTTTATCAGTGACAGAGCGGGCCTGGTCAGTCCTGGGAAGTAGCTCTGGTTTTCTTGCTTCCTCTGTGGCTGGATTGCTGCATTACCCACGTTCTGCTCCCTGGCGTGGAGATATCACAGCCGTGCTGCTGTTTGAGTCTGCAGACCCCGCTGTACAGGGCCTTGCGGGCCCCGTGTGCAGCCCTTTCCCCGGACCACCCCCCTGAAATGAGCACCCGCCAGGAGCACACACCCCAAAGCTGCTTACTCCCTATGCCTGGCTGTCTTGACTTTATGTCTAAGTTTGTTTGTAATTTGCATGTCTTTATCTTTGTTTTCATTTTATTCTATTTATTGTTGTATGTTTAATTGTACAGTCTATGCTACCACCTGCACCAAAACAAACTCCTTTGTGCCTTTTGTACTTGCCGAATAAAGCATCCTAACTATGTTTCTAATCCTAACTCTGACCCTGATTCTGATTCTAATCCTAACTCTGACCCTGATTCTGATTCTAATCCTAACTCTGACCCTGATTCTGATTCTAATCCTAACTCTGACCCTGATTCTGACTCTAATCCTAACTCTGACCCTGATTCTGACTCTAATCCTAACTCTGACCCTGATTCTGACTCTGACCCTGTTTCTGTTTCTAATCCTAACTCTGACTCTAATTATCTGTCCCTAGCATGTCCCTTGTTTGAGATCTGACAGCTTTCACAGCCACGGTCAGGGAGGCCCCCGGACCGGCATATGTCACACATCCCAGGAAAAGCGTCCTGTCTTAGCATGTCCACATGCAGGCCAGGCCAGATAGTTCTCTTATCACAGAGTTTTCAAGCTGGGTTTTAGGGTTAATACTGCAGTAGAGGGGTAATGAAGACATACAACAGAGCAGGGCTGTGTCTCAGTGGTTTCCAAAGTACATAAAACGGAACCGAAAAGGGGACCCCTGCATTAAATTCACAGGCTTCACACACTGGTGCAGATATTGAGCAGAAACCTAGAAGCAGGTGGGGCCTGCATTGTGGTATGTGATGCACCAGGGGGCGCTCCTGCTCTGCCTTTCTCCATAGGCCTGGAGGCCTCGCTGCAGCAGTATCCTTTCCAGGAGTGGCAGCTGTCAGGCCAGGAGTTGCTGACTCTTTCCTACCGGGAGCTGGAGCAGCTGGGCGTGAAGAGGATTGGCCACCAGGAGCTCATCCTGGATGCCGTGGAGAAGCTGTGCTCACTGGTAGGGGTCAGCTCTGTGGAGGGACAGGGAGAGAGGAGCTGAGGGTCGCTGTAGGTAGGGGTTTTCTGCTGATCAGTGCGTTTGTGGGTGGCCTGGGTAATGACAGTGTGGGATGTGGGCAGCTAGGGGGCGCTGCTTCACCTTCATCTTTTATTCTGCATCTGTAACAGTCTTATTTCTTTATTTATTTATATGTAACGTTGCTGAGGCTGACTAACCAGATGCACTGCGATCTGCCCCGCCCCTCCAAACGCTCTCCTTCTCTTATCTTTGTGCCCGTCTCTGCACAGACGTATAGCATGCCTGAGGAGAGCCTGCGCAGCCTGACGGAAAAACTGCGCACCGTGGCGCACTCGCTGCTGATGGGGATCCAAGGCCGATGGAAGGTGAAGTCCTACAGTGGTCACAGTGCCACCAAGCTGCCCACTGCGGTACTGCAGGCCCTCCTTGACGTCATTTTGGCGGCCAAGGGCCTCTTCTCCCTACTGAACAGGTAAGGAGTGGTTCTCCGTCCGTCCGTGCAGGTGGGGGTAAGGCACCTCTTTACCTGTGGGGAGGCAGGGGGATCGGGCGGGAGCTGAGCTCCCACCTCTACTTCCCTGCCTGCTGGAGTTCTGCCGCCCCCGCCCCCACATCCTTCCCATCAGTGTTTCACTCCTCAGACCGTTTCCGCAGGCTCGGGTCTGTCATGATCTCACAGGGAGCCGGTCCGCCTGCCTTAGTGCTCCAGCTGCTAAGCGCCTCTCTCCCAATCCCACCTCCTGTATCATTTTTTTTGACTATGCTGCATGTTTGCTGTTTTTCTGGCTGCTTGGAATAATCATGTTTTTTTTGTGAATAAACATGTAACGCATAACAAAAGACAACCTGCAAGAGACAGACAGCGGCTCAGAGTGAAGGGACGTTGACAAGCTTCATGCTGTGACTCAGACAGGCTGTGTTATGGAAACCTAACCGTAACCTAAAGGTTCCTGGCCTGGTCTCTTAACTGCAGTGCGTGACTAGCAGCTCCGCTGGCTTTGACCGGAGTCTGGTTCAGCCCTCTGGTGGCACTTTGCTCCTCTCTGATATGCCCCTTCCACTGGCCTCATGCTGCTTGCTGATTGGTTGTAGCCGCTCACACTGGACATATGTCGTAGGTACCACTTTGCTGAGCTCCGCAGCCGTTTCGACAGCCGGGACATCCTGAGCCAGTGCCAGGAGCTGGGCAGCGTGGTGCATAAGGTGAGTGTATCCCCAGTGTACCACCTAGAGGCCCCCGTGAGCTGAGGTCACATGATGGCTGGGTGCCACTCTCCAGTCCTGTAACATGGATCAAGAGATTAGCTCAATCTAAAAACAAAGGCTGCCTCATTTATAATATGACGAACTGTTGGACTGGATGCTGTGATGATGGTGCTGACCTCACTGCCAGTTTTGATTGGATGATGTGATGTGATGACGGTGCTGACCTCGCTACTAGTTTTGATTGGATGATGTGATGACGATGCTGACCTCGCTGCTAGTTTTGATTGGATGATGTGATGACGGTGCTGACCTCGCTGCTAGTTTTGATTGGATGCTGTGATGCCATTACTTATGTAAAATTTATATGAGAAGAAAATGAGAAACTTCGACAAAGTCAGTAAGGAGCATTGTTTGAGCCCACATATCAGCCCATCGCATCCAGAAATGAACGCATTTCCAAGTAAACCTGTGTAGTCTTTTAACAAAGTACAACCTATAAACGCACTTCAAGGTTGAGTTTGCAGAGCAAGCCGCCTGCTACCGGTCTGATATACGGGGGTTGGACAATGAAACTGAAACACCTGGTATTAGACCATGATAACTTATTAGTATGGTGGCCGATACAGCATCACTTCATCTTGGGAAAGGCAGATGCGCGTCCTGTACAGTAGCCAGAGGGATTTGAGCCATTGCTCTGGCAGATGACAGTGGCCAGGTCACTATGTGATGCTGGTGGAGGAAGACATTTGCTGAGTCGCTCCTCCAAAACACCCCAAAGTGGCTCAGTAATATTGTACAGGCCATGGGAGATGTTTAACTTCACTTTCATGTTCATCGGACCACTCTGTCAGCAGTCTTGCCGTGTGTATTGGTGCATTAGCATCCTGATACACAGCACCACTGTCAGGGTTTGAAGGTTTCTGGTCTCCCAGAATGGGTTGGTAGTCTTTGGCAGTGACGCCCCCATCTAGAACAAGTAGTGGGCCTAGGGAATGCCATGATGTAGCAGCTCAAACCATCATCGATCCACCCCTGTGCTGCACTCTGGCTATGCAACAGTCTGGGTGGTGAGCCTCCTTGGGGCTTCTCCACACCGTAACTCTCCTGCATGTGGGAAAGACCGTGAAGATGTTCTCATCAGAGAACAAAACATGTTTACATTGTCCACAGCCCAAGATTTACCCTGCTGATGCCATTGAAGCACGAGTGACCAAAGGTTTGGCTACAGCAGCCTGATATATGAATATTGACCTTGCGGAGCTCCTGATGAACAGTTGTGGTACAAACTGGAGAGTTTTTAATTCTGCAGTAAGTTGGCAGCTATGGTTTCATGTTTTTATGGGATGGTGCCCAGTATTGGCCCAGTGTTTCTCCCAGTATATCCCAGTTACAATCCGGCTCCCTCCCCCGTATTAAGCTTGGCACTCAGGACAGAAGGCCAGAATCTGATGCTGTATGTTTGTTGCTGTTCGCTGCAGTCCGCTCTCTTGTTTCGAGTTGAGTTACATGCTGTGGCCACGGTCAATGCAAGCTCCCTCCTCCTGTGCTTACGGTTCAGTTCCTCTCTGGCTCTGTAGCCGACCGAGGCGGGTCTCAGAGCAAAGAGGAAGGTGCTTTCAGTGCCTGAGTGTGTTAGTGCGTGCATGCCTTCATCCTGAGAGTGCACGGAAGACAAGGCAAGGCGGGTAAGACTGGGAAGAAGGGGGGGTTGGGGGAGAGAGGGAAGGGGAGAGAGAGAGAGAGAGAGAGAGAGAGAGAGAGAGAGAGAGCGAGCGAGCGAGCGCGCGACACTGTTGTGCCCGGCTGCCACGCTCTGCTGTGCATGACTGTGAAGCTGCAGCTAGCACAGCTGAGCTGTGACCCGGCACGCTCACTCCAGCGAGGTCCAGCTGACTCGGGCACACGCCCGCCACTGCTCGGGACTCCGCACACAGGTACAGTGCCCGTGAAGTGGGGGCGGTCACATTTTGCCAATCCCCGTGTCTCTGTATGTGTGTGTGTCTGTATCTGTGTGTGCAAGGGGGCTCCCCAGAAGGTCTTCCTGTGTACTCGGACGTCTCGGGGCCTGTGCGAGCTGCTCAGCCTGACAGAGCACGCCGGAGGCTGCCGGGGCATGAAGCCCAGCCTTGGGCTCCCAGATGCATGCAGGGTGTGTGGCCGTGATGGAGTCTGGGCACCTGCTGTCCTGCGCCTTTACTGAAGCCCATTGTCTGCGCGGTTCCTGTTTTTCCCTTTTTGCGCCCCTTCCCTCACACGCCGATTCTGCTGCTTCACATTGTTTTACAGTTTAGTGGCATCCGGCGACGGATGGTGTGCCCAGGGACGGGGTGGGGGGGACAGAACATTAAACCTGGGGGCGTGGTGATTGAGGGGGTGGGGCTTGGCACTCAGAGCAGGTGACCTGCCCTTCAGTGTGGAAAACACACCATGTGCCGTCATGTGCAGATCTGCAGTCAGTCAGCAGGAGGCCGCTTAAATGGTAATAGTGAGGCCGGTGGGGGGGGGGTTGTGACCTAAATTCCTTGCAGGGCGGTGTTGAGATGTTATATTTAACAGCAGCGGAGAACGAGAGAAAGAGACGTAACCAAAGCCGGTTATCATTACTTCTTTGGCCTGGATTATCGGAGGCAGTGTAACCAGGTAAAGACACACCAGGGATTAGAAGATGCCATGGGAGCGCAGGGAGTGTTCAGGGAGGCGCAGGCTGGTTCCATGGCGTCTCCTCAAGCCACTCCTCCTCAAGCGGCTCCTTCCCACCCACCTCCCTTCACCTCAGATGCTCCTGTCTGTGGCCCAGAGCAGCGTGAAGGTTACCGCTGCCCTGGAGGGAGAGGATGTGATCCCCAAAAGGGGATGTGGTGTGGTCCAGAGGGCGGAAGGCGACCCACGTGCATGGTGCTGACCTTTGAGGTGCCCAGCCCCCCTGTGCTGCCGCCGCCCCTGTGGCAGAGGCGATAGGGTTTCTGGCACAGGTGCCGGCCCCAAGTCATACACCCTTCTTTGCTGTTTAATTCAGGCGCGTCTCTCTGTGTTGGGGGGTGGAGCGGTACATTCTCTGGGAGTGTCTCCAGTTTCTGCAGCTGTCAGACATCCCTAGGCGTGGGCTCTGCCCCCGAATGCCTGCATCTCAGGTGACGCACTGAACCCTCTGCCTGTATCTGCTCCCTGAGGGCAGCCTGGAAACGGCCTGCTGTCCTGTCGTAGCTTAGCAGATAGACGAGGGTTATGTTGAGGTGATGCAGTGAGTGGTGGCCCAACTGGTCACAGGTTCAAGACCTAGCTGTCTGTGTGTAACGGGAGAGCAGTGCTGTGTCAGCGTGGGTCCGCACTTCTGTCCCATTACCTCATAGGTCACAGGTCGTCTTTGGTCCTCTGCCTGCCAATCGGGAAGCTTCTGAGGTCACAGGGGAGCTCAGGTGCTGCTTGAAGGTGAAGGGGTACTTCACTCATGGGATATGATGCGAACCCTGGTTACGCTCCCATCTCCCCCCCCGCATTACGGGCCAGTTCTCACACGTCACATGCGCGTGAACCAGTCTGCAGGGCTCTGGGGGTGGGGCTGATGTGGAGGCCACCAGCGTGTGACGGCACCGCAGGGGGGATGTGAGGTAGGGGGGATGTGAGGTGGGGGGGCGGGGGTATGGCTGGCACTTTGGTGTCCCAAAGTGGACACAGCACCGTTTCTGGCCGGAGCCCAGAGAGCGGCTGGATGGGGACGGGGATGTCACCTGCGGCAGGTCACTGAGGACACGCTGACCTGTTACTTGTTGAGTCTCAGCCTGATCACCACCCTCTGCCATGTGACCTGTGGCACTGATCTCACTGGCCCCGCCCCTCTGCAGGCCCCACCCCTTCCTGGCCGGCATGCCCCGTCAAGCACGTGGGACATGTGCTCATGTCTTCTCCTGTCCTTCACAGGATGTCACAGTGTATGAACGGGAGAAGGACCTCATCTCCATCGTGAGTATAGCTGGCCGTGACCACAGAGATGGTGATGATGCTGCTGCACACACGGCCGCACACTCTCACCCCGCCTCTCTTACCCCTGTCCACGCCGCAGTGTCGCCATCTAGTGGACATTTGTGATAACATCCTGAGCAGCAGCCCCGAGGACCTACTCAGCCACACTGTCCACCTTGAGAGCGTACAACTGGTGCCTGTTTCCCCTGGCGACCAGCTGGTATTGCCCCCGTGCCCCCCCCCCCCCCCCCCCCCCCTCCACCTGTCGGTCTCTGGCTTTTCTGTACCCTGTCCTGAGCTTTTCACCCTTTCTCTCGCTGCTCTGTGGGGTCGTGCTTTTTAGCTAGGGGGACACATTTGGTGGCCTGTCTTTGCAGCTCTGCAGTGCCCCCTGTTGGTTAGAGTCCCAAACATCACTAATATCATTTGAATGTTAACCTTCCATACACTCTTCTACCAGTGAAATGCTTCAATTCACATTGCTGCCTGGTGTGTTGCCATAGCAACACCATGCATACCATGTCATTTGCATTGTTGGTTGGTACTTCACCATAGTGACACTACGCTTCCCATGTTATTCTTATTGGCGGCCGTTATGTCGGCGTGCATGGGGAGGGCCCCTGTGTACCAGAATCACTTGCCGCCTCACTTGCCTGTCTCTGTTCTGTCCGTTTTCTTTCTATCCCCTGCAGAGGTAAATGGATGGATGGATGCAATCACCTTTTAAAATGAAATGTAAACAATATTAATTATGAATACAGTGCATAATGATCATTTTAGAGAATTATTGTTGGCAGAATGTAACAAAAGGCAGTGAAGCTCCTTTTTTGCCTCCCCAGGGAATTGAAATCACCACCACAAGCTCGGGGGGTCACTACATCACGGGCACGACCTCTGAGGTCAGACAGCCTTTAATGACACATACTCCTCTTAAGTGTCCCTTTATTGTGTTCGTTAACCCTTCTTATCTAACCCATCTCATCTATGGTCATGTGGTTTAGTTCAGACTATGATGATGATGATCGCATGTTTGGGCACATTAACTAATTGCATGTGCCAGAATTTTTAAATAACGTTCCATGATTTAACTCCATGTTCTAAAATGTTATACTGTTCTTAATGTTATAGTGTATGATCATTATTAACTGACTACCCTGATTTCCACGTTCTAGAATGTTAGCTGACCGTTCTTGTTTAACATTGTTGCCACTGAACATTGTATGAAATGAACACTGATGCATTTGAGTGCTACCCAGCTGCTTCCATGTTCACTCAAGTTGGCCTCTGGAGGTGAAGCCTTAACCCTGCCCTCCCAGTTAGAAAACTGCTGCGCCTCTTTTTTTCTGTTGTTTTTTTCATGGGGGAGGCCTTGCTCACGGCTCTCACTGTGTGGGTTCTCTGTTTGGAGCAAACCCCCTGCACTTGTTTAGCACAGAGGACAAAAACCACCAGTTTGCAAAGGCAACAGCAAGTAAACTCTGTATATTATATATGTATATTTCAAATGCAGGGTATAAATTCTTACAAAATAAATACAGGTGTTACTTTGTAAATATGTATCTATAAAAGTGTGAATGTCATAGTTATTGTGTTTTTAATCCTCACCGAGTCTTCAAAAAGAAAAATGTCTATAAATCGCTGCCCCCCTTTTTGTGGGAGGGGAATGGCCCAGTTCCCGCGTGTCCACTGTGTGCATAAGGGGGACCCGCGGGCCCGCGGTGTGCGTAAGGGGGACCCGCGGGCCCGCGGTGTGCGTAAGGGGGACCCGCGGGCCCGCGGTGTGCCATATAGCAGCTGTATGCTAACTTCAGCGGATTGTGTTTTGTGGGGAATGGTTTCCCTGCTGACACACGTCTGTTCCCCCCCCCCAGTCGCCTGCCGAGTTCTGCGAGGGGATCCTAGTTGGGGACGAGGTGATCCAGGTCAACGATCAGATAGTGGTGAGTGGTGCCCAGCTGACCTGTAGCCGTGGAGTTTCTCAGGCCTCAGAGGGAATTGAAATGTGGGCGGGAGGAGGGTGGTGCTGTTGAGGATGATGAGGATGGTAAAGATGGTGGTGATGGTGCTGGTGAGGATGATGTCTCCGGCTGGGCCTCTGTGTCATGCTTTATATCGACACATGCCACTTCATCCTGGGCTTGTCCCTGACTGGTCGATGGCAGGCCAGATATATCTCCCAGAATGCTCTCTGGTGGTATCTTCAGGTGGGCTGGAGCCGGGCTAACCTGGTGCGGAAGCTGCAGGAGAAGCCCAGTGGAGTTACCCTGGTCCTGAAGAAAGTTCCGGTGTCCAAGAGGCAGGAGAGGGTGACTGGTCCAGCCCCCACCGAGGTAAGCGGGGGAGGGAGGGGGTTCTCCTCCTAGTGCCCTGACCGTTGGGATTCACGGTTGTTCCCATGGTGACTCCCTGCTCTGTGTAAACCGTTGCCATGCCTGGGAAGCACAGTCTGCACGCTTGGCGCGGCTTCTCATCCCGAGGGACACGTCCCCATGCCCTGCCGGTGCAACCCGGCTTTCTGTTTGTGGAGAGCGTGTGCAGAGCGAGCAGCCTGAAACCGTGCGCTCTCCCTGTCTGCAGGACGAGGAGCACCCCTCTCTGCTGGGCCGGGTCACGGCCTCCGTGCGCTCCCTCTCCTTCAGGTCAGTACCGCCTCCTTGTTTGTTTTTCGCCTCATGAACGGAGCTGGCCTCTCCTGTCAGATGGCGCCCTTAAACGGGTCACTGCCAGCACCCGTGAGGCATCCCCCGGGTGCTTTCCAAGTCTGGGGGGACAGCACTCCATCAGCGCCGGACCAGAGGGGTCTCTGGGAGATGTGCTGGCAGCATTTCTGTGGAATATGTTAGGAATGTGCTCTGTGCTCATATGGGAGTGCAGCTTCACCTCCCACCGTGTGCGGCTGCTCCGCAGGGCCGCGGTCCAAGCCACGGACGCCACAGGATCCATGGGCCAGGAGGAGTCGGAACTGGCGTTTGACAGCACACAGCCGGGGAACTCCCCTGACCTCCCAGCACTCACCTGCTATACAGGTGTGGCTCCGGAGGGTGAGGGGGGGGGGGATGGGGCTCACTGCTCTTGTGTACAGTTCCCTATAACTGAAGGAAAGTGAGATTGTAGGTGTGGCTTCATGAGTCTGTGGGTGTGTTTGTTCCTGTACAACGAGTCTGATAGGACAGCAGGTATCACCATGTCATCAACTGCTTGTGGATATCATTGGTCAGTGGCCACATACCAATGTCACAAGCCCTCCCCCCCCCCGATAAATGACACCTGTGGGACTGATTCCCTTACAGCCCGGGACGGGGACGAGGACAGCACTGCCGAAGGAGACCACCCGCTGGAAGCCTCAGCCAGAACTGGCCGGGGAAGCGTAAGCTCCTGCCCAGAGATGACCAGAGAGAAGGTCAGGAATCGTGGGGGGGAGGGGGGGGGTATGACAAAGATGGAGTGGTAATAATGACAGATTTGGACTTAACAGGGGTGAAGATGGTGACGGTCTCTAATGCATGTTTTAGGATGGAAGCCAAGCCAAGAAGTCCAGCATGAAAGGTAGGAGTGGCTGTCTGGGGGGGCCGCAGTGACCCCTGGGGAGTGCATCCTCGCGTGACCATCCTCCGCCAACAGGCACACGCACAGCCATGAGCCGCCGCCGCGTTTCCTGCCGTGAGCTGGGCCGGGCCGACTGCGATGGCTGGCTCTGGAAGAAGAAGAAAGAGAGCGGAGTCTTTCTCACCTCCAAGTGGCAGCGGTTCTGGTTTGTGCTGAAGGGTCCCACGTTGTACTGGTACACCAGCCAGCAGGTGAGGACGAGGAGGAAATGCTGTTGTCATGGGGACAGGGTGACAATGGGGACAGGGTGACACGCCGATTGAGTGATGCCGGGACGTGGTGTCATGGGGACAGGGTGACAGGGATGCCTGTCTTTCAGGAGGAGAAGGCAGAGGGTCTGGTGAAGATCCCCAGCTACAGCATCGAGAGCGCAGGCGAGCACAAGAGGAAATAGTAAGTGTGATGCCCTGGGTCCACCGCACTCTGCTCGTTTGTGATGCCCCCCAGAGGATGTCGCTGGTTAGAACACTGTAGCTAATCTAAAGAGGCCCAGATAGGCTTTATCCCCTCATCTCCGCCCCCCTCCTCAATCTCACCGCTTGCCCTCCCTCTGTTCCTAGTGTCTTTAAAGTGTGCCACCAGCGCTTCCAGACGTTCTTCATCGCTGCAGACAACGTCAATGACATGAGCAAGTGAGTGCCCCTCCCCACTGAGCCACACATCCCCCCACCCCCTAATACCCCCAGCGGACAGGGCATTTTTTTCCCCCGGTGTTCCATCAAGCATGTAAATGCAAATACAATCCGGGACTAAGGAGGGTGTTTTTACAGCACATGCCCAGCTTATTGGCCAGTGCCCTTTTGTGAGAGGAGAGTGAGGGAGGGGCGTAGAGGTCTCAAAGCCCCCAGTTTAAGGGAGTGCGGGCTTACTGACAGATTGGCTCCACCCATTAAAGACACAGCAGCGTCTTTCTGTCCCTGATGGGTTTCTCTCTCCTACAGGTGGATTAACTGCTTAATAACAGCGATTCAGAAGTATAAGAAGCTTCACAAGGACCCCCCCAACAGTGAGAACGGTACGGGTGCTTGGTGATTTCTTAGCGAAGCCAGGGAGCTCTCAGGTCTGGAAGCATTTTTTGGGGTGGTGCTTGACTGTTTGCAGTGTGCATAAGAGGTTGAATGTGTACCATGAGAAGAGCAAAGCTGACTCACCCTGTTCTGCTGCCCCCTGCTGGACAGAGTGCTACAGTGAAACTGAACCCGAAGATGAGGGTTCCTCCTCCCCACGAAGCCAAAGGAGCAGGGGAAACGCGGTGAGTGTTATGATAAAGCTCTATAAAACACAGGGGGGCATATCTGTACTGCAGAGCGCTATAAGGTACGGGGGGGCTTGTCTGTACTGCGGAGCGCTATAAGGTACTGGGGGGCCTGTCTGTACTGAGGAGCGCTATAAGGTACGAGGGGGCTTGTCTGTACTGCGGAGCGCTATAAGGTACACCATAAAATAGAGACCTGGGTCTATACCGTGGAGCCTAGGGCAGCAGAACATACCATGTTACACATCTTAGCCTGATGAGAGATGTTCACTTTTCTGCCATAGAAACCCGAGAGTCACACCCTGCCCAAGTCGAAAGGGAGGAAGATGAAGGAGTCAGGGCCGAGCCCGGTATTTTCTCCCAGCACTGGGCACAGCAAAGCTTCCGGTAGGAGTCACTTAAGTGCCCCTCCCCGAGGGAGGCAGCAGGTTGTAGTGCCCCAGGTCAAAGTGCCAGTCTCACCTCGTGCCTCTTTGCTGCCCCAAGTTGCTGCGGTTGCAGGGCCGACCGAGGACGAGATGGGCATGCTGCTCTACCAGCTGAAGGAGGGCGGGGTCTCTATCACCGGTCAGACGCAGCCACTGACTCACGACCACTTCCGGAGGTCCTTCATTCGGCGCAACAAGAACCCCATCATCAACGAGAAGGCACATTCCCTGCGGGCCCTTCAGAGCACGCTCAAGGCAAGGCCACTGCCAACCTCTGTCCTGGTGGGGGGCACCGGGTCCTGGGGGCATCGCCGAGCTGTAGAGCTCCTTAATTTAGCAGTGTCTGTAGGATCAGAGCTTAATTGACTGGTGTCAGTGGATGGTGGTGTCGGTGCCTAACTGACCCGCACTGCTGGTCTTCCAGGCAAAAGAGGCTGAACTTCAGGTGATTAACTTTGTCCTGGAGGATAGCAGCCTGACCGCTGACAAGTTCCGCCAGTGGAAGGAATGTCACGAGGACCTTTTCCAGGAGATTGAGAGGCTGTCCATGAGCAGGAGCCAAGGGCAGGCCCAGGCACAAGCCCAGAACCCCGAGGGCAGCCAGGAGAACAGTGCCATGGAGCAGCATGTTTCCGGGGTCAGGCTGAGCTATGGGGAGCAGCTGGTGGATCCAGAGGACAGCGGGAGCCCTGCCTCGGGTCCGAAAGGGAGGCCGGACGGGCCTTCAGGGTCCTCCGAGTCCTTCTACATCTGAGCCACATGCAGTTGTGCATGGTGATGCGTATGCAGCTCCCCCTAGGGGTGGCCAAGGTGGCGTGCAGCCAGGTGTGCCGACAAAGGACTGAACAAGTGACTAACAGCCTCCCGCTTTAGATGTGACGTTTGCCTGCCTCCGGGGGGCGCTCACTTTCACAAAATTAAATTCACTTAATATTTATCTGCCCACAGAGAAATCTGGTCATGTACTGGGTTACAGGTTTTGTCTTAGAGTAAAATATTTTTGCATAAACTGAATATTAATAATTTTATTGTGTATATAAAAATGTGAATACTGATTTTATACTTAGACAAAAAAAAACTTCTGATGTACGAAAATTACCTCATTAGGATTCTGCCACGTGTAAATACTGTTCGCTTAGAGCTTGTCTTGTTGTTTTTCTTAAATTTTTTTTAGTCATCTGTTGGGTCATTGCCACCCCTACCTGAATTTGAAAGGCAGGGACAAGAGACTCATTTGCTATCATGTGACAAATGGAGAAGAGGCTGAGGTAATGGGGCTAGGGATGCTGGAGGAGGTCCTGCACTCATCTTGGAGGGAGGAGGTCCTGCGCTCGTGCTGGAGGGAGGAGGTCCTGCGCTCCTCTTGCTGGGACGTTGGTATCAGTGTCACCAAGATGTCTGTGAAGTCGGAGCGCTTTCAGCAGCCTGTCTGTGCTGCAGTTCCTCCTACATGCTACGATTGTACATTGGGTTGCCATCTGTCCCTTACAGTATGGGATTGTTCCATATTGGAAGAACTGCTGCATCCATAATATACGTGGTGATGCTGTATTATAAGGGGCAGGTGCCGACCCTAACGACACCTATGACTATACCTGAATAGAGGCTAAATCATGCTTCCAGAATATTTTGAGTAATTTTTTTACTGAATTCTCCCACTTTAATATTAGTCTATGAAGGTGGAATACACAGATGTACAGTGGTTGTATCTAAAATGCTGCCCAGCCTATGAGCCTCACCTTGAATGCCATACAATCCATGTGGTGTCACATGACACATGGCGTTCATCCTCATGCAGTCCCCTGGATGCAGCTGTGATGTGCTGCTCACATGTGCCTGGATTTTCTTTGGGTTTCTCTTTCAGCACCATTTCTGTGACACAGGGCAGAAGGCTGAGGAGCTGAGAGAGCGGGGTGGTGAGGAGCTGAGAGAGCGGGGTGGTGAGGAGCTGGGAGAGCGGGGTGGTGAGGAGCTGGGAGAGCGGGGTGGTGAGCTGGGAGGGCAGAAGGCTGAGGAGCTGAGAGCGGGGTGGTGAGGAGCTGGGAGGGCAGACGGCTGAGGAGCTGGGAGAGTGGGGTGGTGAGCTGGGAGGGCAGAAGGCTGAGGAGCTGGGAGAGCGGGGTGGTGAGCTGGGAGGGCAGAAGGCTGAGGAGCTGGGAGCGCGGGGTGGTGAGGAGCTGGGAGCGCGGGGTGGTGAGGAGCTGGGAGAGCGGGGTGGTGAGGAGCTGGGAGAGCGGGGTGGTGAGGAGCTGGGAGGGCAGACGGCTGAGGAGCTGGGAGAGCGGGGTGGTGAGGAGCTGGGAGGGCAGACGGCTGAGGAGCTGGGAGAGCGGGGTGGTGAGGAACTGGGAGGGCAGACGGCTGAGGAGCTGGGAGGGCAGACGGCTGAGGAGCTGGGAGGGCAGACGGCTGAGGAGCTGGGAGAGCGGGGTGGTGAGGAGCTGGGAGAGCGGGGTGGTGAGGAGCTGGGAGGGCGGGGTGGTGAGAGAGTTAAAAAAAAATAAATAAAATAAAATAAATCAGTTTAAACATTCATTCATTCATTTTCCAAACCGCTTACCCCTCTGGGTCGCGGGGGGGGCCGGAGCCTATCCCGGAAGCTATGGGCACGAGGCGGGGAATAACCCAGGATGGGGGGGGCGGCTCATCGCAGGGCACACTCACACACCAGTCACTCACACATGCACACATATAGCCAATTTAGTAACAATCAGCCTCAGCACGTCTTTGGACTGTGGGGGGAAACCGGAGTACATGGAGGAAACCCCACGACGACACGGGGAGAACATGCAAACTCCATACACATGCAACCCAGGCGGAGACTCGAAACATGGGTTACTGAGTTTGTGTTGTTCACATTGGGTGCGGCTAATACATTCACCCAGTTGCACAGCCTGATTTTAAGGGACTGAAATGTGCACGTTTGGCACGGTGCTGTTATGAACAAATAAGCGAGTGCAGAGTCTTCCTGCACCTTTTAAAGCTACAACTAACCTCAAGTGTGTGAAATATAAAATTTCATTGATTTTCTCTACCTATTCCCTGAACTATTTAAGTTTTTCGTTTGTTTTTTTTTAACTCCTCCCTCAGGTTTCACCTCACCCCGTGTCTTGCGTTCTCATTGGCTGTAGCTGGTCATTGCCAGTCACAGCACTTTCCACACTGGGATTTGGAGTTGCCAACAGGTCCGGATAGTTGGCATATTAGATATCAAGGGGAAAATCGGGCCTAAATCATGTAGTGTCAACTTTAGTATTAGTTCTTTTTTTGAGCCCGGTCTGAATTTCCTGGCAAAATCACACACTCTGATGATGTCGTTTAAAATGAGTTAGCATGTTGGATTTGTTTCCAGAAAAATAACTAAGTTCAGTTCTGTTGTAACTAGTTAGAATACAAATTCTTGATATCGGAAATTCAATTTTAACTAGTGGGATTCAAAACGTTTTTCTCATTCATTTCGATGGGAGTTGGAATCTGAACTAGTCAAAATACCAATGTCTGATATCGGGAATTCATAATTTAACTTGAAGTATAACTAGTTACAATTCAATTCCTGATATCGCAAGTTTGATTTTCAACTAATTCAATTTTTATTTTTTATTACACAAAATTGCGATACATATTGAAGCGGCTAATATATAGCGATGTAATATCGAATCGGGCGGTCACTTCCGATTCCCACCCCTATAATTTTTCCGTGTTACTGGAATGCTCATTGTGTTTGGTGATCCTCAGTTAATCCTCCACGTCAGCCGCCTTCTCCAAAGAGACTTTAGCCCAGTTTTCTTTCATAGCCCATATTCCCGATAGGGGGCGCTGCTCTCTAACATTCACTTTGTGTATATTTTCGTTTTTTGAAACTACTCAGTGCCGTGGTGTTTTCCTTATCAGGTGACAGTATAGGACAGTTTTCCTTAGGATCCCGAAACTGATTTCTTAAAACTTCCCCATGATATATAAGAAACGAGCCCTTTGCTAACAGCTGGTGCTCTTGGTGTTTCCTCCGTTTCTCAGAAAGCTCGGTGTGGATGGACGTGCATACTAATAGAGAATGGAAGGCCTGGGTACCTGCTGTATTCACGATTCTGAAGTGCGAAAGCGTAACCTGACGTAAAAAGTAAAGGACATAAGTACCAGGCACATTTTCACTTCTCAACTGGTGGTCGAGGGTGCTGTGAGGACGCCGAGAGACGTAGGGGTGTCCGGTACAGTATTGTTTAATACAATCGAATAAGACTGGAACACACAACAATAAAATGCCGTGTTTATCATTTTATAAGCTTTATTTAAAAAAAGAACAGTTTAGAAATGCGTGGCACTTTCAGTGACATTACACAATAATACAGAGATACAAAGCCTTGAAATGCTGTAAAATACAGTCTGGAGACCGAAATCTTGGCAGAAACATGGGGTCATGCTGAAATAGCTGTTTGTTCTCTAGTGGTTCATGCCGACATTTTGAAAGGACGTCCACGCTCATATGCAACAGGTGCATACGCGAAATGTGATACGGGGCACGACCACACCGCTGTGCGGTTTTACTGGAGAAATGTGTGATTTATTCTGAAAGCCATTTTTTTGCTTTAGGGATGAAAATGAAAGGAAGTAATGGCGATCTAAACGAGACTAAGAAATGGCAGGCGGCTAAAAAAATAATAAAATAAAATAAAAATCCCAGCGTACGTATTTCTGCCAGCGCCGGGCAATTCAAAGAAATGTTAAGCCCAGTAAGTAGCATCAGCACCACCCTGTGGAAAGCGGGTGACACTGCACAATATTGCCTAGTTGTAACAGCACGAGTTGATAGGCAGCGTTCGTTCAGCTATTAATCCGGAAGTTCTCCGCTTGACTCACACGCGTTTTCCATATTTATTTCTATTTACATCGTATTTACAAAACTCAAACCTTAATTGCTTTCATTATATAAAATATTGGTAACAAAAATCCATAAACAGTACAAAAGAGTTTGGTGTGTATTTACAGAGGCATGAGGGGTAAGCTCGTGTCTGGCTGAGGTCCTGAGTTCCTTGTCCGTCTCCTGCTGGCAGCGTTTTAGAGGTTTGAAATCAAAAGGCAGCTGATAAATTTGTGTTGGGGGGGTGCAGAGGTTGGTTACAACTCGCTGAGTGTGATCTGGAATTGTCCCATCAAGTCCGTCATCTCCATCTGGAAGGCCGAGTGGTTGCTGTAGTGTTCGATGATGTTGTCGTCCATGTTGACAAAAATCCTGCAGGGGGGGCAGATAGAACATTTAGGTGACAGGTGACCATCAGCGGTGCCCTCATTCTGCGATTCCTGCCTGCATGCTGGAAGCAGCTGCCTCCTCACTGCTCTCCTCCCTCAAATGGAGCACGGACCCAGGCCCCGGGGGCTCTGGCTGATTAAGAGCCAAAGAAGGGAGAAAATGCCGCGGAACCTGAAAGGCAGCTGGAGGCCCCGGGGCCCGCCGGCTCTCTCACGGCTGTTTCTGCCCGACTCGCACGGCACGGGACACGTCTGCGACGCTTCAGAGGCACCGATGTGTCACAGATGTGTCCCTTAATCATGGTTCGCTCTTGGCTGGCTGATTTGGGGACGTTTAGACCATCCTGCCCGTTCAGTGGGGCAGCCCCCTCACAGGAGAGGGTCGGCTTCGAGACCATCCTGACTGCGGAGGCCACAGACCTGAAAGCGCCGGCAACATCCGGACACACTGCTGCCCCCCAACTAGGAAAGCCCATCCTGCAGACTCCCCCCACCCGTCGGGCTTTGCACAGTCAGAGGCCTCCCTCCCATAATCAGTCAGCCATCGCGTCAGGTATCTTTCACTCTCTATGGAACAAACAGCCCACATGACTTCCTGGTGTTTCGGTTTATCAGATTAGAGAAAAATAAATAAGACAATTGTGTGACTCATCTGAGTTTTGAAATCTTTTCTTCTCTTTCTTTAAGAACGGTAATTATCACATTCCAAAGGAGCACCTTTCCTACCCACTGGTCCGTCAACTTTCTGGAAGGTTCCTCGTAAAAGGAAGACTTGAGATTTTAAACAAGTGCTAACTGGTTTCCAGATCAAGGTATCTAAAGGGAAACTGAGACTAATGTCTCGTTGAAATCTATAGCCCAGCGAAACCCAGAAACATGAACAGACACACGCACTCCACAAGGTAACTTCAAACTCACCCTCTCTTGCATTTTTTGTAGATCTTCCCGATGGTTTCTTCTTGTATGCTGTATTTTTCCGAAATCTGGTGAAGAAGAAACCAGGAGACCCAGCTTTAGTGTCAAAGAGGTTATTTCCATTTCCTGTGTGCTGGCAAAGGACAGCAGCGCCTGAGAGTGTCACGAGGAACTTACAGCTTCTCTGAGGCCTTTGAGGTTCGGTGTGTTCAGCATCAGGGCGTTGAAAACCTCCTCCCCCTCTGTCCGAACGTACAGGAGCACTGAAACACGAGGATTCACGCTCAGGGTCTGTGTGCCATGCAGGAGGCCTGAGGCCTACACAAGCCTGGGCTTTTCTTGGCATCTTACCTCTTTGAGGCTCCTCCTGCCTGGGCTGCTTGCAGGGGGTGGGGCTGCAGTGCTCACTGCCCTCTGGGTATGCTGGGCAGCTTCTCCTTTTCAGTGCAGACCTGGAGGAGCAGTCAGACATCCGGTCAGCAAAGGCAGTAGAATGAGACAGTCTTGAGCAGAAAGAGCAGCGAGGATGTTGATGGTTACCTTTCGGATTCGCCCAGAGTTGCAGGGACCACCTGTTTAGGAAAAAAGAACAGAGTTCGATCAGAGACCTGTGGAGCAAGACTGAGGGCAGCCTGAAGCAGGAACAGGAGCGTCTGCTTCCTGCGTGTGCAGCCCAGCAGCTCACGGCCCATTACACTTTGTTTCTTACTCTCACATACCCTGCAGATGCAGCTCTGGTCCTGCCTGCGAATGCCGGCTCATTCACACACACATGCACAGACATATGTATACAGGTTTGTAATTATCTTTGCGGGGACTCTCCATTCAGTTCTACGGGGAAAACTCTAATATCAGCCTTAACCCCCATCCAGCCCTAACCTTAACCATAAGTAACCAAACAAAATTTTTGATTGGATTCACAGATCTTCGTGGAGACCTGAAAAATGGTCCCCACAACATCAAACAACAGGTTTTTATCATGTTGTGGGGGACATTTGGTCCCAACAATGTAATATAAAACTAATACACACACGCACTCCCCACCCTCCCGAGTCTCCTGACTGTGGGAACCTGGCCTGTCCAGACAGGACACATGCTGCCCTTATTTGGTTTTGTCAGTAAGGCTGAAAAGGGGCAGGGGGGCATGTACATGTCAGTCACCATGT